TTTTAAGGTTGATAACCGTAATTATACCTACAAAATTCTTTTTTCCATGTAAGTAACATTAATAAATTTCCAGGATTAGGACATGGACATGTTTGGTGGGTCATTCTGCCTGCCACACTCTTGTATTTTACATCTATTATATTTTTGGATTTCATTCTTACTTTTCTGGAGTACATTTTCAGACAGAGTATATGATGATTGAACTTTCTGAAATCTTTATTATGTACTCATACTAGATTTTTGTTCTGACAGGAAATAGAATTCTAAGTTCAAAATAATTTTCACTTACAATTTTGAAGGTATTATCTTTTGGTATCTAAAGCTTCTCATGAGAAATCGGATACTAGCTCAATTCTTATTCTTTTATAAAGGGTCAGATTCTTGCCTCTGGAAGCTTTTAGGCCTTTTCCTTTTTGATGCTCTGAAATGTCTTCTTTATGTGGCTAGGTGTGTTTTTTTTTTTTACCATTATTTTGATCAGCACTAAATGTGTTCTATCAGTTTGGAGATCTGTATTTATCTTCAGTTCCCTGAAATATCTTTTCAGTGTCTGATATTTTTCTCGTCCTCCTCCTCCATTTGTTGCTCTCTCTTTCAGAAATTCTTGTTAGTCAAATAATGAATTAACCCTCCATGGGTTTTTTTTTCCCCAAAATGCTCCATGTTTTTGTTTGAATATTGCAGGTTTTGTGGTATTTTTTCAAATTGCCATTTTATTAAAATTTTAATTTTTACGTTCATATGTTTATTTCAACAGTTTTTTCTTATTCTTTGAATGCTCCTTTTTCAGAGTATTCTGTTCTCTAATATTTTCTCAAGTACTTCTTAGGAAGCTTATTATTATAAATTTCTTATTATTTTACTTCCTTAGCTGACTCAGAATTTTCCTAAAATAGCTTTCTTAGTTTTATCTTTCATGCTGTTGATTTTCTTCATATCACCAATGTTTTTTCATTCTTCATTCATTATTAAGACAAGGGCTAGTTGCAGTAGCTCATGCTTGTAATACCAGCACTTCAGGAGACCAAAACGCAAGGTGGGAGGATTGCTTGAGCACAGGTTGAGTGAGGTTGCAATGAGCTATGATCTATGACCATGCCACTGCATTTCAGCCTAAGCATCAGAGACAACCCCTGTCTCTTAACCAAAAGAAAAAGAAAAGAGTGGGGTTCTACATAGATGTAAAGAGACAGAACACTGAGGGAGGAATCTGGAGGAACTGAAGTGCACTGCTTTCTAAAGAGGTTTTAAATTGACATTTTGTATTTAGCTCCCTTCTCATTTCCATCTTCTACTGTACAGGAGAACTCTATTCCTGGAATCCCTCTGGGACTCTCCTAGGCAGATCAACTCTCTGTGAAACATTAGTCACCTCCTGAAATTTCTGACATGCCACTTCCGGAATCTGTTTCATTTGTCAACAAGTTTCCGTACTTCTTTTGATCTTTCCAATATTTTTTGAAATACTTAGTCTGCTGATGTTCTCTCTCCAGGTCACTTCAGCTTTAGAAATTAATTTATTGGGTAGACACTGGAGTTAATTTCTGTACTCCTTCAACACTCTGGGAGCCTGAGGCTGGAGGATCACTTGAGACCAGGAGTTCTAGACCAGCCTTGGCAGCATAGCAACATAGTGTAAAATTAAAAAAAAAATTTAGCTGAGCATGGTGGCATGCTTCTGTAGTCCTAACTTTTCAGGAGGCTGAGGTGGGAGGATCCTTTGAACCCGTGAGTTCGAGGTTACAGTGAACTATGGCACTGTACTCCAGCCTAAGTGGCAAAGTAACTCTTGCTTTATTAAGGCTTTAGGAGGCAGACTAAACAAATACTCATGTAACTACCTCCTCAAAGCAGCTACTTTTATTTACATTTGACTGTCTCTGGAATTTCTGGTCTGATTACCACTGCACCAAATACATTTTAGTGTCCCATAGAGCAATTTTTGTATTATTATTCTTTTTCAACATTTAGTAAGTTATTTTTATGCAATTGTTGAGATGATCTTTGGAATAATTCTGTTCAAGAAAAATATGAATATTTAAATTTTGATTGCATCAAATTTATAAATTTAAAATATAATTAGTTACAATACCAAATTTTCCCATCTAGTATAGCTTCTCTCTCAATTTACTTAAATCTCACGTTCTTTAGTAGAGCTTTGTTGTTTTTCTACCTATGATTCTACAGATTTCCTGTTAAATTTGTTTCTAGGAAGGTCATATTGTTATTATTAGTCACTTTATTATATTTTGTAAATGTTTGATTTTGCAAATCTGTCTGGTCAACAGCTACTTTACTGAAATCATCCATACATAATATTAATTTTATATGTCACTTCTTTTTCTTGTTTTGTGGAATAACTGATGAGAATTTCAATGATAATATTAATAACTGCTTTAATGGTATTTGTGGCAGAGCTGCTAATCACCTGTCTTATCTTTAGTAATAGAAGATCAGACCCCAGGTTTCAGCAGAGCAGTTTTCCATCTAGAGATTTCTTGTCTCAACCTCCCTTGCAAAGCAAGAAGTGGTCATCACTAGTTCTCACTAATTAAATATAAGTGATGCATGTAAATTCCCTGTCACTCTCTTAAGAAAATACTCTATTGAAAACATTTTAAAATCTGTTTTCCCAAATTATTTGTCTACGAAACTCACTTTCTTTGAGATCAAAAGCATCACACATAATTCTAGTGTTCCAGGAATGAGGTTTGAGAAACACTGGTGTTTCAAGTAGTCTGTTGATATTAAAAAAAGTATTTTCTAAACCCACTTTATTTACACCTTAGTAGAAAAGGTGTTGCACCTTATTCAGTGCCTTTTTGACATTGGGATGATTTCCTTAACCTAATGCTATAGTTATTTAACATGGATTTATATTTTGAATTGCCTTTGCACTTAAAAAAATAAACTCAATTTGGTTATACAGAAATTGCTCCTTTAAGAAAGCATCAAACTGATTCTGCTAACATCTAGGATTTTTGCACTTATTTTCATTTGCACAAATGAACATCAAATATGAGCCAGGCACTAGGGATACAATAGTGAGAAACATGCATTGCCTTCGTCATCCCCACGGAGCTTACACTGACTGACTTTAAATGTTCTTTCAGGATGTCAAAGATTATGCTAGCTTCAAAAATTAAGATAATAGCTCTCCATCATTTTCTATGACTTGGGTTTAAAGCACAAGATTTAGCTCTTAAGATTTTTAAAAATTCAGCCATAAATCTGAGTGGGCTGGAGGCTTATTTGAAGGTACAGAACTTTAGCATTTTTTTCAGTCCTGTCTGTAGTTATTGACTTAATTCACTTTTCCATCTTTTTTGAGTTATGTTTTCCTTGAAAAGTGACTATGTCATTTTTTATTATTTATTGGTGGCATAAAATTGTATAAAATATTTTAATAATTTTTAAACCTCCCTTTTATTAAATTACCAACCTTTCTAGTGGCACTATTCCTTTTCTTGTTACACTTCCTGTAAGTCTTGGAATTTCACTGTTATTGCCAAAAACCAGCTTTATACTAGATTGAGTACTTTATCAATTTGAACAATTTCCTTTCAAACATTGTTCTCAAACTTTATCTTTACTAATTTCCTCTTCCTAATTTCAATTGTACAATTTTCTTCTTCATTTCTAATATCTTCATATAAATGCTTGGTCTATTTTTATCCTTTCTTCTTTAAAATAATGTTCTCCTATAGCTTGGTCTGTATCTTAAAATTTTAAGATATAGTTTTTTCAATGTCATTAGGTTCTAGTAACTGGAACTTCTCCTTCCTTTTAGAACCCAAAGGCGATTTATAAAAGTACCTTAAAATTTACAGTATGAACAAAATAAAAGTTCCACTTTGCTTTTTAGGGGTGCTAACCCTTAGCTAATTTTTTGTTTGTACTATCTTTACTTATGCAAATTTAGCCCATCCTTCTAGGTCTAATATTTATGCCACCTCCTTTAAGAAGCCTATCTTGTATTCTCTCCCTTCTCTAAATCATTATATACATCTCTTAAACATGTAATGTTTATGTATCCTCTGCCTTCAACTCCCACCCTCAGGCTATTTTATTCACGTTTATGAGATTTGCTGTTTAGCTAAGTATTCTGTGGGTTTTCAAAAGATTCCACTCCATTTACAGAGCACCTATGCACCATTTTATTAGGTACAAGGAAAAGCCTTAAACAGATAATAATCATGGCCTTCAAGAAATTGAACCTAGTAAGAGAGATAAATAAGAAGACATTCAAGTGAGCTTCAAGAGACTTGGTTTGGTAGTGAAGTCAGTCTCATGTGTATAAACAGCTTACAGCACGGTAAAATGAGAGAGAAACGAACAAATCCGTTTTAAACAGTTCAAAGGGGGAAATCGAGAGGGAAGGGCGGTTTAGATACAGATTCACCATAAATAGCCTAATAATCTAACCCTGTGGTAATCCAAGTATAGTTACAGTACCTGCCTCAGAATCACCTGGAAGGCTTTTGAGGGGTAAAAACGAAGATTCATACCTACTGAAATTAGAATAGAGAAAGGGGCATTTAAATCTGCATTTTAAACACTTTCCCCAGGTACTGAGGTCATCCAAAGTTTTAGAACAGAGCAGAGCCAAGTTTCGCAGATCTTGTTCCTCAGCTACTCCCTCCTTCTAGCCGGAGGGTGGCCTGCGGCGTGTCCCTTCCTTTCCCTCCGTCGGAGCTGTCCAGTTTCCGAACGCCGGCCCCACATACAGCGGGGCTTCACGCGAGACACGAGGAGCACCCACCCACCGCCGAAACCTCCACGCAGGGATCAGAGGCCGGACCCGCAAAGGATTCGGGGAAAAAGGCATCGGGCCAATCCGAAGGGCGAGAACGGCCCTAGATATGGGCGGGGGTGAAGGACAGAAAGATTCTTCTTTGATTGACGTAAAACCTACCCAATGAAAACAGAGAATTGTGAAGCTTCCGCCCTAATAGGCAGAACCGTAGCGATTTTTCAACCAATCCAGCTCAAAAGTGTCTATGTTGTGGGAGGTCCCTGAGGCCGCTAAGGTCGTTTGTGTCTGTTGGGCGGCTGTGGGAGTCTTGCTGCCTTGGGTAGGGGGTTGAAATCGTTCTTGAGAGGAAAACCTCTGTCCGAAGAGATAATGAGTTTAGCTCTGAGGTCGGTAATAAAGAGGCGGCAGTGTTCCCCACACCCGGGAGCGGGACGCAGGGAGGCTGTGGAAGGGAGGCCGTTTGGGGCCGAGGCGAGGTAGGGGATGCAGTTTTGGGACGCGGGAAAGGAGCCTAGGGTAGCCTACCCGGACCAGTCACCCTCTGGGCCCTGGTGCCTTGCAGGGATCGAGCCCAGTGCATTTCTACTGAGGACGTTTTTTCTGTCAGCGCGTAGGGCTTTGGACTGCCAAGCAGATGGGCTTAATTACGAGCGCGGGGGGGAATGAAATATCGCGAGGCTTCTACTCGTTTCTGTGTTAGATCAGGCCGCGGAACATCCCTTCCTTCAATTCGTGTAGCTGGCCAGGGCCCCGCCTCGGCTGCTCCGCTGCTAATGCAAATCACTCACCTACAAATTTTGGCGATAACACAAAACTCCTTCTTCCTCATTTCTCAGGGCTTTGCCTTACGGTGTAGTTGGAGACCCATTTTAGTGAATTTAATTGGCAAACTGTCTCTTGGATTTCCTCAGTTTCTTGCATTTCTTTGCCTTTCAGTTCTAACCTCTAACCCCTTGTATGTTGCCCTCTCCCCCTTTGTAGAAGTTGTACCGTAAAACTATATACTTAGGACACTCTAAAAATGTTCCATGTTCTGCTAAGGGATAATCTTGGTACCCTTGGATGGGGTCAGGGGTGGGTCGGTTCTGGACTTGGCCTCTGAAAGTCTCAGGAAGGAAACGACTGACCCCAGGAATACCCAAGTTTGTGTCAAGTCAGGTTTCATGAAAGGAAGCTTCCTCAGCTTCGTCATACTGCACCTACTGGTCACTTCCTGGCTTTTTTTTTTTTTTTTTTTTCCTAGCTTCAGAGACCAATATGACTTTCAAATGCAACTAGATACGTGTTTTAAAGAGTCAACTGGTTTTTACATGATAATGTGTTATCGAATTATAGGTTTCAAAACTTATTCTTATACGAGTGTTGCATCCCCCTCTGAAAATCTGCAGCGTATTTAGATGGGCAGCTCTTAAGGAAAATATTTCTGGCTTTAAAAAAATTACTTTTTTTCTTTAAGGCTTTCCAGAGTTTGTTAGAAGTTTAGCCTCCAGTTTACATGTTAAGTGAGACAAGACTCTTCACATTTTTATATAGAATGAGGCACAAATATTGTATATTTTTTGGCATCTAATATTTGTCATGTTTAGACTCATTAATATTTTGAATGATTTGTTAATATAAATGGAGGAAATGACAAATTGCCAAACTGTTAGAAAGATGTAATCTAAAAACATTTTTAACAAACAGTGCTAAAATACTAAGTTAATTCGGTTGTATTTTTTTGGTAGTAATTTTACGAACTTAAATATAAGAACTATCAAAAGTAAACTGTTATGTAGTGACTGTCAACTATGAATTTTGGTTTCGTTTGGAGTTATTTTTCTTTAACACTTAGAATAATGTGAGTATTTTGTTTTTTAGAGTTGGTTGGAGTTTCAGACATAAAAGCAATGTTACTTATTCACAGTTCTTGTTTCTTCTACAGTAACATTAGTGGGAATAAATAAAAAGCTGGGAAAAGTGGGAATAAATAAAAAGCTGGGAAAAGGAGAAGTATGATCCTCATTTATTTTACTAATCTTTAACAATCTTTAGTTTTGGGAAGTTCAGATTTATAGCAATTTAGATTGTGGAGTAAACAGAGCATTGACTCATAAAGGGAAAGTTTCCCTGTCTTTCTACAAAGTACTTTCGTTTTTGAAATTTAGAAAATAATTACTGGCTAATTTCTGTTAGCAAATTCTCCTTTAATTTAAGGACTTTTTCTTTCCATTTAATAGAAGTGAGATTGTAGTAGACAAAACAAAGAGGAAAAAAAGAAGAGAATTGTCTGAGGAACAGAAACAAGAAATTAAAGATGCTTTTGAACTATTTGATACAGACAAAGATGAAGCAATAGATTATCATGAATTAAAGGTAATGGTATACTTTAAAATATTTGTTTTTATGTTAAAATGATTTGCAATTTAACAGTTGCTTTACATTACATTTCTAAATAATTATTTTAACTAAACTGGTTTGGAACTATGAAGGCATTTTAAGCATTCCTAGTTAGATGTTATAATAAAACTGAACAGAACCCCTAACATAGTTTTTAGAAAGTCTTTTTCACATGATAAAATGAATAGCATTTTAAATGTAAAAATACATTCCTAGGGAAGGTGCTTATTTTTCGCTGACATAATTAAAGGATTTCAAACTGGAATTTAAACTCTTATTACCATATTCTTTTCACTGTTTAGTTTTTGTTTTGTTTCTTGGTGACTCACTGTTTTCAGATTGAGGGAATGTTGTCTTTTAATCTTGTAAATTGGATTTGTTAGTAACATAGTCTCAATCCACTTTCTCTGGTGCAAACTAAAGTGCCTGTTTGATGTTGACACGTGCTGATGGGTAAAAATGTCAACTTTAAGAGTTAGAATGGCAAGGTGTGGGGAGAGATTTGTAAATTATATTTGTCAGGGTATAGGGAGAGATTTGGGTTTAGGGTAGAATGGGACTTTTAGCACAGTGGGAAATACAGCATTTTCAGATTTTTAGTAGCCTTAATGGATAGGTGAATATAAGTATGTGTTTTAATTTTTCTAATTTTGCAAGGGATTTTTAAGCATAAGAATTCTAAGCAGGGGTAGGAACTATGCAGTGACAGGATAGAATATATAAAAGCAGTTAATAGGCCTTTAAGTCTAGCTTTCTAAATCTTGCAGTCCTCTTTAGTTCTCTTTTCGCACTGTTTTTTTTTTTTTTGGTGGGGGGAGGTTACTCAGATTTGATCAGTTCTTCCTTTATAGTGTAATAATGTCTTTTCCATTTGTAACCATTGACTCTCTTGGTTTGGGACCTTATTTTATACCTGGAGCTTCCTAAATGATTTCTCTACCTCTAGTTCATCTTGTACACTACCACTGAATTTAGATAGTTTAAAAATTCTTTCACCATTGTTCATAAATTGTTCATTACTCATAAATCTTTACTATCAATGACTCCTCATTACATACTACTTAAAGTTCAGATTTCTTTGCTTTCTACTGAATGTTCTCTACACTTTTGCCACCAACTACTTTTTTTCATTTGCTAATTGCTTTCTTCCACCTGAACTCTTCTAATTCAGGTGATGTAAACTGCTCTGTTCACTGTCCTTCAAACCTTCATTTCAGTGTCCCTTTTAATACCAGTCATCCTTCCCAAATGCCCTGCTGCTCCTCTTCATCTATCATTCAAGGAACAACTTGAATCTTTCCAGATAAGACTTCTCTAGTCAGTAACATGTCTCCTTCCTTGTTACTAGTAACAAAATTTCTTTTTTTTCCCTCTAAATCCAGGGTCCTTAGCCCTATCATTTACATGATAACTAATCATGGAGAGACTGATAATAATTCTTACTTTAATATTTTATCTCATCCGTCATATAACTGTTTAATATTTATGCCATGCCTTCTCATTTTGGTTGTTAATCCCTTGAGAACAAATAACAATGAAATTATCTGTGCAGTAAGTTAGTGCATTTTATATAGTAAAATTTATGAACACTTTTAGTTACTTTGTCATATAAAAATGCAATTTATAAATGAAAAAACATACTTAACTTCAATACTGAAGAACAATTACACTGTTACTTTGCTATTTTAGAGAGATAAAAGATACAAAAGAGTTATATTTTATTAATGTGTTGTTATCTCTTAAGATGTAAAAACTTAAGAATTAGAAATTCTTTAGTAAAGAGTGCTTCATAATTTGCTTTTCCCTTTTAATCCAAAAGGTGGCAATGAGAGCCTTGGGGTTTGATGTAAAAAAAGCTGATGTACTGAAGATTCTTAAAGATTATGACAGAGAAGCCACAGGGAAAATCACCTTTGAAGATTTTAATGAAGTTGGTGTGTATTTTAATAGTCTTTGTAATCAGCAGCTGTTAGGAAATTGTCTGATTAATATCGGTTTTTTTATTTTAAATTCTCTAGGTTATGGAATTTTCTTATAGAACACTGGTGTATAATGTGACTCTTACTCAGTTTTGTTTGTTTTTTTTTATTTTCAGAGAAAAAATATTTATGGCTTTGCTCTGAGATTCATAGTTTTGTTTTGTTCTGAGTATTCTAACCAGGGAACTATTGTGTAGCTTTTTAAGGAAAGATGCTTTTCCAAGTTATGTGTATTTATATTATGTGATAAAACTCAAAGGGTGATTAAAAATTATATTTGTTTAGTAAAACAGAAAATTTGATATCCTGCTATTTGGAAATTGTTTCGCAAGATCTTTCTGGTATGTGATTTTTGTTGGCTAAGTGGGACAGGGGGGAACTGGTAGCAGTTGGTATCTTTAGCTGTGGATGAAATGCATGACTTCAGGTTGACAAAGTTGATAAGAGGCTACATCCTCTGGATGACCTTTATCTCAGTGAAAAAAGTCATCTATTTAAAGTTAGGATTGGGGAAAGGGTTGTAGTAAAGGAGGCAGTGGGCATACTGGAAACAGGAGAAAACGTCCTAGAACCACCTGAAGATAATGTGTCATAGGCTTAATATGGCTAAATTTTATATAGTTGATTTTAGTGAATTATTTATAGCATATATAGTCTAGGTTTTTTTCAAAATAGAAGATTCTGGAAGGCAAGTACTTTGCTATTAATGACCTAAATATATTGCCCAGAATATTATCTACAAAATGTATAAATATTCAGATTTATTTCTATTATTATTTTTTCTAAATCAATGGGTCACAATATAAACAAATCGTATAAATATTTTAAGATACTTAAAAAAATTGGAAACTGTTATGTACACAAACCACTTATTTTAAATATTCATCAAGAAGCAATATGGGAAGCAAAAAGAAATGGCAATTAGTAGTTGCGGAGAAAGTTTATATTCATGTCATTAGTCAGGTTTTTAAATCCAAAAGCTCACGTCAAAAGCATTTGAGATGGAAAAGAAATGATAAACCTAACAACAACAACAACAAAAAACCAAAAACCCACAACGTAGAAGATACTCAACTTAGGAACTAACATATGACTGTTTAGAAAAGCTACTTCTCCGTTTAGGGAGCATTTTCTTTTTTTCCTCTAATTTATAGAATTACTTATTTGAGGAGAGGGAGAGAGCCACCCTTTGTTCTCTCAGAGTGGACACTGTCCTGAGGTTTATGATCACAGTATTCCTAGTTTTACCTTTTATTGTTTATTTGTAGAAACAAGGTATCAGGATACAGTAGAAATGATACTATTAGGAAGGAGCTATAATTCAGGTATGTTTAGTACAGTGTAGTGATTTAGCACTTGGAACCAGATTCCCTAGGTTCACACCTTGGTTTTGCCACTTTATAGCTCTGGAACTTGGTCATTTTAGTACTCTGTGCTTCATTTTCAGCTCTAAAGCAGGGATCATTGTACTCTCTCATAAAATTCTTATGAGGATTAAATAAGTTAATGTTATGTAAAGTACTTAGAAAAGAAGGCCTAGCATGTTGTAAGTGCTACTGAGCATTTGCTATTATTATTACTTTAAAAAATTGTCTTTGTTTCAGGGACTTGAAATCACATATGTATCACTGGGACATAAAATATATTATTTGTATATTTTTTATTGACCTTTTTTCATAAAGCCTATTTTAAGCACTATATCATCATTAATAATTTTACAAAATATGTTATTTTATCTTAAATGAATACAATTTAAAAGTTGTGATTTTTATTGGCAGTTGGGACCAGAATCCCATGCCACCTTCACTTTTTCCCGACACCCATCTGTTCTTTGTTATTAACAGAGCAGAAATGCTGGATTCCTTGTAGAATAAATAGGTGTGGCAAAACTTCAGCTTTGACACCCAAAGATTAACCTTTTGTTAACACTTATCTTAATTCTTTTAAGGCTACCTATGGAGAGTACCAGGTGTCAAATAAAAGTTTATTACTTTTTGGGAATTAGTCAAGAATTATGTAGTCCCACTTTTGTTGATTATTTTAAATTAATGACTGATTCTAATTCAGAACATTTGAGTCCTAGTTTTATGAACTACCTAAGAATACTGTTCCAAAATATATCTGGATGAAGTTTGGCACTTAACTACTATAGATTCTTCCTAGTACTGAAAAAAAGTGTTAAAATATATTTAATGTTAGTTTAGAGTCAAGACAACCTGAGGCTAGTAAGCAACAGATGCTTTAGGAATGACTGCCTTTAAGACCAACATAAGTCAAACGTTTGTATGCTCTTTTTGACATGTACTACTTATTACTACCGTTCAGATAATAATACTGTATTATTGTCTTCATTTTGCTTATTTAACACTGAGTTTTTTGTTAGGTACTGTACTGGGGTTGGGAAGAAGACTTAATTAAGAGTTACTAAGATGTTCTTTCAGGGAGCTTACAATGTAAACATAGGTGGCAACAGGCTATAGTACTATGTGGTAAATTGTAATTTTGTCTAGAACAGAAGTCAGCAACTATAGCCTTTGGACCAAATTCAGCTGCTGCTTGTACACCACCACATCCATTCTTTTCTGCAGTTTTTGTGCTACTATGGCAGAGTGAGTAGTTAGAAACTTTATGGTCCTCTGCAAAGCCTAAAATATTTACTATCTGGCCTTTTACAGGAAAGATTTGTTAATCCCTGATCTAGAGGAGTTGAAGACTTTACAGAGGAGATTTTAAATTTAGGACTTTGGAAATGTGAGTAGGATTTCATTCCAAGATTGCCAGGAGAAGTAGAGAAAAAGCAGTCTAGGCTTAGAAAGCAGCAACAACAAAGAATGGTACTAGAAGTATAGCATGTTTGGGAAACTAGGTAGTCTTTGGACTAGATTATAGGGAAATGACTGGAAAGGTAGGATTGGACCAGATTGGTAAAGTCTTGTAAAACATAAAGATTTTTAATTTTAGTCAGCGGAAGATCATTGACAATTTTTAAGGAAGGGGATATAGTATGTTTGAGAAAGAATACTGATAAGAGTATTGTTGATGATGAGTTGGGAGGAAGAGAGACTGCAGATAGAAAATACTATTTTTTATGCTGAGGATGGTGAGGATGAAAATAAAAGGAATACATTTAAGAATAAGAAAGAGTCTGGGCTTAGTGGCTTATGCCTGTAATCACAGCACTTTGGGGTCAAGGTGGGAGGATTGCTTGCTCATAAGAGTTTGAAACCAGCCAGGGCAACAAAGTGAGATCCTGTTTCTAGAAAAAAATTTAAAAGAAATTAGCCAGACATGATGGCACATGCCTATAGTCCCAGCTGCTTTGGAGGCTGAGGTGGGAAGATTGCTTTAGCCTAGGAGTTGAGGTTGCAGTAAGCTTGGATCACACTTACCCTTCAACCTGGGCAATAGAGTGAGAACTTGTTTCAAATAAATAAATAAATAAATAAATAAATAAATAAATAAATAAATAAATAATGGTATTCCCAGTATTATAGGACCTAATCACTGTTTAAATTTATGGGACTGAAAATGATTTATACTTTTCAAATCTGGAATCTAGCTGTAAATGATGCTGTTATTTTTTGGTGGGCTTAGAGGTAGGGGAGGCAACTACGGCTACCATGGTGGTAGCAGAATGAGTTTGGAGTCCAACATATCTAACTGGCATGTTTGGATAGAAATTTCCAAAAGGCAGTAAGAAATATAGTTAAAGCCATATTTCTAGCATTACCTATAATGATTTTTAATTTACTTTTAATGTGATGTTTTTAGATTTGCTGTATTCTTAAGTGATTTTTATACATGAAAGGTCTAAGTATTTTGATGAAGTACATTTCTGATAGTATGTGTAATTTGAAAATACAGTTGAAAATCATTTGAAAATACAGTTACATGGGCAGAAATGTAGAGTTTTGTGAAATAAATGAAAACCACCTTAACTGCCTCTATGTCAGTTTACTAATAATTTTCATTGAAAATAAATGTATTTCTTAAATTCTACTTTGTGGAACAAGAATAGAACATGAAGACTTGGAGGAGAATCATCATAGAGTTATATATTAGGTAATGTTTTGCTATCCAAAAGGATGAGCATTTATAATTCCCAAGAAAAGCTGCATTTTAAGAAAGAGTATTGATAAAAGAATATATAGACACATAGCTCTGAAATAACTAACACAATTAAAGTACCAGTGGGATAAGAATTTATACATCTTGGAGCCCCATCTGTTCCCCAATCACCCTGTTGCTTCTTTAAGTACATTAATACTTTCAGCAAGCTGCTTTTTTGGTTCACCTGTCATGTAAATTATTTAATTGGTGAAGAAAATTTCTTAACACTTTTTTTCCTTGTCCTGCTTTTTTGTTGGGACTAAATTCAAAATAAGTTGAGTATGTGCCATAGAGTTAAGTGTGGTATTTTATTTTGGTGTTATGGCTGTAGATATGCCAGCTCCTTTTTGACTGAATATTTATGAGCTTTGATGATTTGCATACTTACAGTAATATACTTCAATTAGTTACTTGGAAGCCTTTTTGGATAAAATTAATGGATAAAAGGAAACTATTGAAAATATGTGTAGATGATACAATAATCATTTGAATAGAGGATTATTGAACCAAATATGGATGAAACAGCAGCAAAACAATAAGTTGTTGGAGACTTTGATTGTATTTTTTTCTTTCTGGGTTCCTTAAACATTCCAGTATTTTCCATCTATAAGCAGTTGCTTTTTTTTTTTTTTTTTTTTAAATGATTCTGTAACCTTCAACAGGACTGAGTTGTTTTTAATTACATAGTAAAGGCCATAAATACGTTTTCTTGTAGTGGCAGACAATGTATATAATTACTTCAGAGCTTTTTATTTGAATATTGTTGGAATTTTATCTGGTAACTTAACAATTTTTATGCCACAGATTTTTATTTTAATTTTTATTGCAGCTATTGATTAAAGACTGGTAAAATTGAAAATACTTAAGCTTATTACTGTATTGTTACATATGATTATATTTAGTATATTAAAATCCACTATTACTACTGAGGTTTGAAATTACATTTATTTTTAGTTAGTTGTCTGAGAGTTATTTATCCAAAAAAAATGGTTAAGCTTTAAGGAAACCTTCTTTCCAGAGGTGATTTTGAGGTGAGCTTTCCTGCTATAATCAGATTTGATCCTGTTTACTACTTTCCACATTTTGAAAAACCAAGAGGTTCTTCTAATCATGAAGGTATTAGTGGAATTTTCATCTGCTGTCTTGAGATTGTGCCTGTGTCTGTGATGGCAGTACGTTTTGTCTTTCGCAGTTTTTCTTGTTTTGAAGTTGGATTGAATTTGAGGAACAATCAATTTTAGTATGACGTTTAGCCAGCAAGCAGGTTTTATTTAGTTAGCTCCAATTATTTTGTTGGTATGTGTCTCTGCAAGTAGTGACACACTCCGCGTGTGCTTGATGTCAGTGGAGCCTAGTACAATTCTTGATAATAGTAGATCTTAAATAAATATGGTATAAATGTAGTCCTTTTTATTTTGCCTCTGTGTGATACGGTTTTGCTTACTTTTTAAATAAGACAAGTTGCTCATAATAAAAAGGTTAAAATTTAAAATATGGATTTGGTTTTTCTAATTTCAGGTTTATCTTAGGGTTTTGGGATCTCATTTGACATTTTATTGTCAGACTAAATGTTGAAAGTCACAGCTTTAATCTCATCTACTATTTAGTTGATTTCACAAATGAATGCTTTTGTGATTATGCAGGTTTATTAAAAAATTTTTTTTAAACTGTAGTGACAGACTGGATATTGGAAAGAGATCCCCATGAAGAAATACTCAAGGCATTTAAACTATTTGATGATGATGATTCAGGTAAAATAAGCTTGAGGAATTTGCGACGTGTTGCTAGAGAATTGGGTGAAAACATGAGTGATGAAGAACTTCGAGCTATGATAGAAGAATTTGACAAAGATGGTGATGGAGAAAGTAAGTTTTAAGTAAAACCCATTTTCCAAGTATTCCTGATGCTACACATGTAGTACATTTTTCTGAAACCAAATGACTTGCAAGAGTTTTTGTAAACGTACCCCTTCTTGTAATAGGCCTTCTGTCTAAATAATTCACATATTCAGTTTAGAATGGAGCAGATCTGTAAAACCAATTACACTTCAAGAAGGTGCTGCGCTTTTCTCTGAAGATGAAACATCATCAAGATTTCAGCCTTTCAGTAAAAATTCAGTCTTTAATGGCTCCTCCCTCAACTTGCATGTACTTCTAAACTAATATTAAGTTCTAAGTTCTGTTGATTTTATCCTTCAGACATTTTGAATCTGTTTTTATCTTTGTCCCCTTTGGCTGTCCTAGTTCAGGCCCTAATATCTAATTAAGAATGTTATAATGGCCTCATTTATTCTTACCTTGGTTGCCTACTACCTGCAGTGTCCTGTGTGTTGACTGGTGCTACACAATGAAAAAGGCAGATGTGATTTCTGCTTTCACTTTGCAGTCTCTTACAGTGTCTTAATTGCCCTTTAGGCATATAAAAGTCTCTAATCTCTTCTTCAGTTTCTTGATCTCATTCTTTTCCTAAAATATACATTTGATAAGGCCATTTCCGTGTTTAAACAGTTGGACAATTCTTCACTGCCTACAGAGTAAAGTTCAAAGCCTTCTATGATCTGTCCCACTCTAAGTAATTAATTTTATTTCCTAGTGTATTCTTCCACTTTTCTTCTTTAACCCTCACCTCCTGTAGGTACACATTTTGTCAAAATACTCTCCTGAAAACACATTTTTCTGCTGTTCATTTCATCATGCTGTTTCTTAATCTTAGAATGCTCTAATTGTTCATTTCTGCCTAGTAAAATGTGATTCATTCTCTCACGTACATATTAAATACCATTTTTTTCTCAAAGGCTTCCCATAATGCTCTCTGTATGAATCATGAGACTTCCATTGAGGGCCTATAGTATTTAGAGAAACAATTCGTTTTGATACTTTCATTCACTTAATGTGGATTCTTTTGGCTGGAAACTAAGTTTTGTTGAGATAAAAACCGCTTTATGTTAAACTGGTAAAGATTAGACCTTGCTGCCTTTTTTGTGGACTTTAGTATTCTTCTCTCTTCGTGAATTGGTCATGCTTTTCAATATCTAAGAGCAATGAAATTTTTAAAAAATATTCGGTATATAGAATAATAAACATGGTAAATGTGGAGTTAAAGGTAAATAAGAGGTATTACAAGATAGACATAAAGCTGTGGTAATGATACAGAGAGTCACCTGCCCACGCCCCCCAACGTATATAAAATGAAACATAGCAAATCGTTTTGAAAAACTGAAAGGAACATTTTGAAAAGCCAGAATGGATCATCTTTTAAATAATGAAGATGGTTGTTAACATTTATTTAGCAGTTACTATATTGAATCTTTTCTTGGCATGTTACATTGTGAATTATGTCACTTAATTTTCATAACTTTTGTAAAGTAGATATAATATTATACCTATATATGCATATAATAGATGCATATAGATTAGAAAACTAAAGCTTTGACAGATTAATAACTGTCCCATGTTATCACAAAGCTAACACTACATGGCAGAGCCAGAACTCAAAATCAAAAATCTCCATAATGACAAAGAATGTGCCTTTAAATATAATATTATATTGTCTCTTGGGCTATAAAGTAAAATATTAACTAGACTTCTATGTTTATGGAGTTTTAAAAATTGCATGCTATTATAGGAAGCAGTGTATTAGCAACATACTCAGTTGGAACTTCCGATTCTAAGATTTACTTTTCCCCCTCAAAGCCAGATGGTCTCTAAGGTACTTAATCTACTTAGTTCTTTAAAATTTTTATTGTTAGCAACTTATAATAAGATTTACTCTGTGAAATGGTTGATTTATGAAAAATTTTGTTAAAGAAGGCAATATAAAAGGAAACAAAGTGTCATATTTTTTTGATTCAATAAATGTTTTGCCAAATGCTTATTTTGAGCTAGGTATTGTGGTAGATTTATTAGATATAGGAACTGGATATAAGAGATGGTTAATAGAGAAGGTTATAAAACCAAATGTACAAAGGTTTAGAAGATTGTCTTTTAACTGTCTACAAGGCTCTCTGGTAGTAGAGTAGCTAATTTCCTTAGCCACTTTCTACTTTTTACTTTTTCAAGTTTAAATACTGTGTTTTTAGGCATGAATCATGGAATTCAGTTGTCCCTTGATAAGCACAGGAAGTTGGTTCCAAGTTGCCTAAGATGCCAAAAATCTATGGTGCTCAAGTCCCTTATATAAAATGTATAGTATTTGTATATCACTTGCACATATCCTCCTGTATACCTTAAATCATCTCTGGATTACTATAATACCTAATATAATGTAAATGCTAGGTAAATAGTTGTTATGCTTTATTGCTTTTTTTTTTTTTTTAATGGTTTTCCTTAATTTTCATCTGCAGTTGGTTGTATCTGCAGATGTGAGGAACCTTTGATTACAGAAGGCTGACTATAGTTTAAAATACTTTTGAAATGCTTTATAAAGTTTTTATTTATAAACAATATAAAAATTGTTTTGTGATTTTCAAACTTCTATATGAAGCTTAAAATTTGAAATTTGAGTATTGAAATTTTACAGATCAAGAAAACGTTCTAGATCTTTAAATAACAAGTGCTTTTTATATTTTGAATATTTTAATCATGGCTATGTTACACTATTAAAATGATCTGTAATCAAATCATGCTAAGGCTGTTTTATGTTCTTCCTCTTAATATAGTTCTTAAGAACATACTCTTGCTTCCTATTTGATCTATATGCCTCAGTCTAAATTGGGGGTTCTTCAGTGAAGGTGCACACTGGCTAAATTGATTAGTAATTTTATATATTTGAACTTTATTTATTGGAAACAGAGGGATCATAGCCTTCATAAGATACTCAGATACTGGAAAGGTTAAAGATCACTACTTCAATTTGTAAGATTCTTGCAAGTAGTTTGAGAGTATTATAGATTTTGTATTACACTCTTACCATGTCTGTCATAGTGTTTTATGGATGTTAAATACTGATTGCATGGATTCAGAGTTCTCTGACAGCTTCTGGAGAGTGCATTTTTCCTAACTCATAGCTTATTTCTGTGAGGCATACACTATTCTCTTTCTGATGGTATTCTCCCTACCCCAGCTCTCTTTCTACCTCCTTTCTAAATTCTTTGTTTTTATTTTAGAGCCCAAGTAATGATTTATCTTTACCTACATTTTTCTCATTAGTGTAAGTATTTTTACCATTGTGAAGGACTTTTTTTTAACACCAATCCGGTCTTTATTTTAATAATAAATAGTATTTTTTGTTATAAACATTTGTTCTGTTTCAGGTATAAAACCTGACTAACATAGTTATCAACACTGATTTTCTTTTTTTTTTAATTTTTTTTATTTTTTTTATTTTTTTTATTGCATTTTAGGTTTTGGGGTACATGTGATGAACATGCAAGATTGTTGCATAGGTACACACATGGCAGTCAACACTGATTTTCTATATGGTTTCTGGAACCAGTACAGTGTATATTCTTTTAATTCCCAATGACCATGTTTTATCTCCTCAACAATTTTTAATTGGTTAATTTTTTCTAACTATTCATTATGAATATTCTCAAGCATAGAGAAAAATTGTCAGACTAGCACAGTGAACACCATTGTACCTTCTGCCTAAATTCAATACTTAGTATATTACCACATTTGCTTTATTTATAGTGTGTATATTTTTTTCTCAATCATTTGAAAATAAATTTCATATATCAAGAACTCAATCCTTTAAGCCAGGCACCATGGCCCATGCCTATAATCCCAGCACTTTGGGAGGCTGAGGCAGGTGGATTGCTTGAGCCCAGGAATTCAAGATCAGCCTTGGCAACATGGTGAAACCTCGTCTCTACCAAAAATACAAAAATTAGCTAGTCTCATAACATGGTCTCTAAATAAATAAATAGATTAAATTTTAATAATAAAACAAGAAAAAAAACTTGATCCTTTAATGTTTTAGCATCTTTCATAACTGTGATACCAATGTTACCCTTCATAACTATGATACCAATGTTATACTTAAGAAAATGATATATCTTTCATAACTATGATATCAGTGTTACACTTAAAATTACCAGTACGTTTATAGTATCATATAATATCTTTCTCATTTCAGTTTTAATACATTCCAGAATGGGAAGCCTGGTGTCTGTTTTGGTATACTATACAACAGTTAGTATGGTGTTGTCATTCACTAGCCACTTAAAAATGTTTGATTTAATAGAGTATTTTCATATAATACCAGCTAGGGTAAATAAGAACTGAACAATTTGAAACATCATCTCATATTTCAGTGTTTTCAGATAAAGGAAATGAGATGCAGAACTGTTCTGTGCAGAGCTATGACTAGCTACGAGGTCTTAGTTTCAGTATAGTTTTCTTTTGCCATTATCAAAATTATCATTCATAACTTGTGCCTTGCTTAGGTATGTATTAAATCTTAGGGCTAAATACTGAATACTTAGCAGAAGTATCTTCCAAACATTTTTTTTAATTGATATGTGTGCATATATTGGGTTTTCAAAATTATATTAAATAAGATTATCTGATTTCTTATTTCTAGGTTGCTGTCTTAAACATTATGTTTTATAAATTGGAGATTCTTATTGTATTTATAATTTTGGCAAACTGAAAATTAGTCCTTATCAGTGATTTTTTTTCTGCATTTACATCTATATAGTTTCTGGATTGCCTTGGTGATTAAAATTAAATCTGTAATCTTTTTAAATTGCCGTTTTTATTGATACATTTGAGATATGGTGACCTATTTTTAATTATTTGTTAACATAGGCTTTTAAGTATATAAAAGTTCAAAAAATAATAATTTAACTTTTTATAATTTTAATGTATTTTCATTCTTTAGAAATCTAATTTATATGCATGATATGGTTAAGCTTGTGAAGGAAGGATTTGCTAAATGAACTAGTAGAATAAAGATTATAAAGAGGATTGTTTAAAGAACTTTGAAATGTCAAACATTTAAAAGGTTTTAGCAAGTATGTACAAATATGACTGTGATTGACTTTTTTGGTAACATTATCTTTTTCCCAGTTAATATTATAGAATACTAATTTATAATGTTTGACACATGTATATTTTTGCATTTAAGAAGTTAAATTTAATAAACATATTCCACTTCCTAACAAAGAAGTAAAAGCAATAAGCCACGTCTTGATGTAATAACAGCATAATGTAAAAAATTTTTAATACTTAGTGTAAAATAGTAGTCATAGACTCTGAAAAAATAAAATATTTGTATTTCTGACTGTTTCGTTTTCTTTCTTAACACAGTAAACCAGGAGGAATTCGTTGCTATTATGACTGGTGACATTTAAAGAATTACAAGGATAAACACTAAGAATGTTGCAGTTACCATCTTATATTCTATTTTTGTGCCTGGAGCCATGTGAAAAAAAAGAAACCAACTTAGTTCTTTTTTCCAAAAGGACCAAAAATAAGCATCTTACATATTTGTATTTTACTAGTTAAGTTTCTTTGTATGAACAGTATTGTTAGTACTCAGATAATTTAGCTTTGTATTTATGATAGAGCTTTTATATAAAGTTTTAAAAAATTGAATCATGTGATATGCGTTCTTTGAAGGTTTTTTAATTTAACATTAATAGTCACTTTTATTTTGGTGCACACGTTTTCCAGACTTTCATTAATAAAATGCTTATTTTATTAGTATTTTAAAGTTTGGTAAATTTGTTTTTATTCCTAGTGTCTGTTAACCCTCAAGAGTGTATTTTTAAAATCTTCCCTTTATATGTTTACTAGTTTCTGAAACAAAAATTCAAATACAAATAGCAATAGTGTGGCATATTTTTCTATTACCTAAGATTTCATAAATTTTGACATTCTATGTTTTAATACAAGATGAATCAATATAAGCCTAATTCTGTTTTTAAGAGTCCTGTCTTTTGAGTTTAGAGGGAATAAGTATTGTGCAGATAGACCCATTTATCCTTGTGTGTTATGTCTCTTAACTCTTTTGGCATTAATGTAAGTTTGAAACCTAATTTTTTTTCTGAATATTTCCTTCTTAATTAATGAATACAATTTGAATTCTCTAACTTCTTGACTGAGAGATTTAAATTTTAGAATTTTGATTTGTTAAGATAATTATCACTCAATTAAATGTCACAGTGATGAAAATAGAAAACTGTAAACCACAGAAATAATTTAAGGCTATGTTTTATCTATATAAAGGAACATTGTATGATTCACCAGGAAAGAGTAGAGACAGACTTTTCAAGTATTGGTGGGCTCTTCTGCCTTGTAGAAGTGTATGTTAAGGGGAAGCAAGTGGTTTTGGAGATGGATCATAGAAAAATAGTACCTGAATGAATCCTTCACTCATAATCTAGTACTTGATGTTGTGGGCTTTCCCAGGAAGAGAATTGAGTTGTCTATTTCAGCAATCTTTCTTTAGAATTATTGTTTTAAATTTTAAGTTTAAAGTACAGTATAGTTGGAGGCACTTTAAATGTTGTGAGCCTTTTAGAGTGTTACATTAAGGGTTGTCCACTAGAAATTTAACACAAAATCAATAGGGAATACTATAGCAGTAGTGACATTTGAAACAGTTATCTAGAAAGTAAGTCTGTATTAGGTCATTCTTGTATTGCTCTGAAGAAATATCCCAGACTATATTTTATAAAGAAAAGATGTTTAATTGGCTTATCGTTCTGCAGGCTTTACAGGAAGCATGGTGCTAGCAGCTGCTTCTGGGGAGGCCTCAGGAAGCCTACAGTCATAGTAGAAGGCAAAGAGGGAGCAGGCACATCACACGGCGAAAACTGGAGTGAGCAAGTGCCAGAAATGCCAAGCACTTTTAAACCACCAGATCTCTTGAGAACTCACTATTGTGAGGACATCTAATCACCTCCCACCAGGCTTCACCTCCAGTACTGGGGATTACAATTCAACATGATATTTGGGTGGAGATAAATATACAAATGATATCAGCAAGTTAACTAGAGTAAAACTTAATTTTGAATACAAATTTAATAGTCACAGTCATAATATTCAGGGCAACAAGTAGACCTTAAAATCAAAAATTTTTTATCGTACTTACTGATGAGTTGTCTCTGTCTTGATCATGAAATACATTGATTTCCAGGAAAGTGAAGAATAAAACAGTAAAAGTAAATTTAGTTTTGCTAGTCCTCTATGACTTTATTGGAACAACGAAGCTATTTTCTGCCACTTTACAGAGATACTGTCTTTTTTCTTAATGTACATACTTTCTCCTTGGGACACTAGTACCTTTGTTTCTTACTGTGGGTTAGGGAAGAGTGCTCATCTGGGCTCACTCTTTATGTTTGTGAAAGACTTATCTTACAGTAATACATGAATTATTCTTTCTTCCAGTATTCTTAATCAGTAACTGTAGAGTGGAAAGGAAAGAAATATTGGCTAGCGTAGGTGGCTATATGAAGAATAGAGTGCATTTTTTTGTAAAAAAGAGGGAGATGGACATTAGTCATATTTATTCTTATAATCCTACTTATCATGCAGTGGCATTTTATGATGTGAGAGAATTATGTTACCTGCTAAACTTTTTTAGTGCATTGCTACTTTGGTTTCCTTGTGAGCTTTGAGAGCTTGAGATTTGTCAGCTAAGATCTTTACCTTCACCTTTGTTATAAGCCAATAGAGCCTACTTTCTGAAGAAGCTATGTGCCTATTAGCCGCTCTTAGACTAGGGTAGGTAGTTGGGTTGGGGGAAGAAATCAAAAACACATTTTTTAAGCTCTTAATATGTATTGATATAAGAGATAGGAAAAACAATGGTTATTTTACGTATTAGTATACATGCACAGGATGTACAAGTTTGTCATATAGGTAAATGTGTGCTATGATCGTTTGCTGCAACTATCAAACCATTACCAAAGTATTAAGCCCAGCATGCATTAGCTATTTTTTCTGATATTCTCCCTCCCCCTACCCCCTACCCCCCACCCCCCGACAGGCCCCATTGTGGTTTCCCTCCCTGTGTCCATGTGTTCTCATTGTGTAGCTCCCACTTATAAGTCAGAACATATGGTGTTTAGTTTTCTGTTCTGTGTCTATCAGGGTCTATTAATTTGCCAGGCTACTTACAGAACTCAGAAAAAACACATCTACTGGTTTGTTATAAAGAATATTACAAAGATGAACATGTAGATGAGATGCATAGGGCAGGGTGTAGGGGAAAGGTCCAGCAATCGGGAAGCCTTCCAAACCTGTTTTTTCAGGGGTCTTAATGGAGGCCTCATTATGTAAGCATGATTGATCACATCATTGGTCACTGGTGATCATCATAACCTTTGCTGAGGATAATGGTTCCAGCTTCATTCATGTCCATGTAAAGGACATGATCTTGTACCTTTTTATGGCTGCATAGTATTCCATGGTGTATATGTACCACGTTTTCTTTATCCATTCTATCATTTGATGGGTATTAGGGTTGATTCTATGCCTTTGCTATTGTGAATAGTGCTGCAGTGAACATTTGTATGCATGTATCTTTATAATAAAATGATTTATATTCCTTTGGGTGTATACCCAGTAATGGGATTGCTGGGTCAGATGGTATTTCTGGTTCTAGGTCCTTGAGGAATTGCCACACTGTCTTCCACAATGGTTAAACTAATTTACATTCCCACCAACAGTGTAAAAGTGTTCCTATTTCTCCACAACCTCACCAGCATCTGTTTCTTGACTTTTTAATAATTGCCATTCTGACTGGTGTGAGATGGAATCTCATTGTAGTTTTGATTTGCGTTTTTCTGATGACCAGCCTTTTTTTTCTTCATATTGAAAAACACTGGTTTACAGTCACTCAGCAAAACACATTTGACACTAGATTTTCGAGTGTACAGAACTAGGTGTTCCATGATTCAATTTAACTGTGGCACTATCGAACTGGAGGTAGATAAAAGTCTCCTCCAGGTGGATGGGTCAATCACAAGCTCCAGGTTGTGATCTGTGCTTGACTGACCCGCCATAATTGGGGATTCCCAGTACCCCCTTAGCAGGGTCTATTAATTTGCTAGGCTGCTCACAGAACTCAGAAAAAACACATCTACTGGTTTGGTATAAAGTATATTATTACAAAGATGAACAGCTAGATGAGATGCATAGGGCAGGGTGTAGGGGAAAAAGTCCAGCAATCAGGAAGCCTTCCAAACCTGTTTTTTTTGGTTTTAATGGAGGCCTCATTATGTAGGCATGATTAATTACATCATTGGTCAGTGGTGATCAGCTTAACCTTTACCCTTCACCCCTCTCTCTGGGTGGTTGGTGAAGGTGGGACAAAAGTTCCATCCTTCTAATCACACAGTTGGTTCCCCTGGCAAACCCTCACCCCAGTCCCAGACCCCCAGACTATCCAGGAATCCCAGTCACCAGTCATCTCTTGGAGAACCATGGTTTTAGGAGTTGTTTGCCAGGAATCAGAAGCAGAGACCAAACATACATCACAATATCACAGTTTCTGTGCTTGGCTTAGTTAATCCTTTATTGCAGGAAATTTGTATAGCACTTCTAATGGAAGACTTTCAAATTTAGTTGATGTGATGGTGGTAATGGCCTTATCTTAGCAAACACCATGGAAAGTGGACAGTGGCTTTGGCCTCAGCTCCATAAGCCACCTGATGCTAGTCACTGGAAGTAAGCTCTCTTAGGGATTTAATAGTGATGTGTTTTTTAAAGATCGTTTACAATGTTCTGAAGACCAATGTGAGAAAGAAAAAATAACTTAAAAATCCACAGTATGTAACATATTACACTTTTAATAGAGTGTAATATAAGGAATAGGTTACATTGGTACTGGAGAACACAAACAAAAGCAGAAAGGAAACATAACTTCAGGTGGCAGCTACCACCCCTAGGCCTAGGAGAACAGGATAAGAGGTTGTATTTACTAGACACTTCGGGGAGAGCTTTAGCAGAGCAGGGACTCGGACATTTGAGGAGGGGCCGCTGGTAAGCGGTGGTAGTATAGATAGAGAATGATGAGGCTGGTATGGGGAATGCTGAGAAAAAGCTGGAGACGAACCAAGTGTCGCTACTGGAATGAAGAGCTGTTGCTCTGGGAATGCTGGCAGGAATAACAGGAAAACAGGAAACAGCAAGATTCTTTCCTTCTCCTGCCCTTATGTCTTTATCTTCTAGTCCTTCTAGTCCTGCTATTAGTGGAGCCTAACAAAAATTCAGATTGCAAAGGAGAAACATAGTTTTCACAATCCCAGCCCTGGTATTACACAGTTGAGTATAGAATAGTGGTTGTGGGGGGAACAAATCAGCAAAGCTGATTATGTATTTTATCTGAACCAGGTTACTTTTGAGAATGAAGGAGTTAGAAGATGGGTGGAGCTATTATTTACACTAGGATAACAGATGTAAATCAGAAATGTCCTAGGCAAATCATATCATTGCCTGATCTCTGGGAATAGTAGCCACTGTTATTTTAGAGAAGTTACATATTTTAATCTTAATAACCTTTTTGGGTAGATACTGTTGGATTGTCTTTTACAAACATTTGGAGGGTTTAAGTAACATGTTGAAGGTAACAGGTTGTAACTGAATTGGAATATGATCCCAAGCTGTTTTACTCTAGAGCCACTCATAACTGATGCTGTCTGCTTAACAATAACTTTTATGTACTCTCTCAAGATGTAATGCATCAGACCTTTGGAACCACAAAAC